ATCCCCCAGCACACTGATGCTGGGGAGTGAAAGCCCTGGCGCACTGGACCCGGCAGGAGGGGCAGCAGCCGGAACTTCTGGCCTGAGCAGGCAAAGACCAAAATGCAGCACCAGCGTACCCCTTGCCCGTGTCTCGCATGCCCCTGGGGCTACACGTACCACAGGTTGAAAATTGTTCTAAATCCTCTGCCAGGCAATTTGTGGATCTGATTAAGCAAAAGAGCAACCTAGCTTCTAGACTCTTATAGCACTTGAAAGAAATGTAATTTATAAATAGTACCTGAAGTCTCCATTTTTTGCGTGTGAGGAAATTCTCTTAAGATTCTGTCTCATGATAGTGTTACAATATACAGTGCCAGTCTGGTTATAATACAAAGAGTAGGACTCCCAAAAAGTTGGTGTCTTTGAGAGTTTTATTTTGCATATAATATAGCATCTGTCCCATGAAAAGAAAAGGAAAGTAGGCATGGGTTCAAGATACTGGGTTTAAGAGACAGTCTCATTGAAAATTAAATTTTAAAAGTAGTTAAAAATGGGTTTGTGTGCTGTCCCTGACCTTGAATCCTTCCACCAGTTTTGATGGATTTACAATTCCATGATCCTATTTTTTAATATTTTCTTTTCTCCTATTACTTGTGATAGCTCCATAAAGAAGCAAGGAAAAACAGCTCTACAAGGAAAGCTACATAAGTAGTTTCCTTAACTGCTGTCAAAAGCATAAAGTAAGCTAAGTTGTAAGAAATAAGTTCTTTTTCTCTGATTTATTTTTCACCTCTTAAGTATTACTATTGCACTAGCTAAAAATTCAAACAAGTGTAATGCTAAGCTAATGGTGCATCTTTAAGCTAAACAAACTATAAAGGAAATTGTTTTTTTTTTCTGTCATGTATAATATTAATACATGGAGAACTTTTCTACAATCTGCTTACCTCAGCACACTCGCAAATAAATGTAGTATGCCCTTGTTGTTTTGTAGACTTATTCAGGATTTTAGTAAAAATAATGTCCTGAAAAAACTGTAGATGAGTATTAATTATGATAGTCACTCTAGCTTTTAGCAAACTTTTAATATGTTTATGAAAAATCAGAGTTATTGTTCTTTCATTGATTATCAGCTACTAGTATGTCATTTGAAAATTTCTGAGACATTATTTATATTTATGATACTCTTTATTTTGCTAGTCTGTGTTGGTCAGTGTTGGGGAAATTCCTCATTGCTTTTTAGTATTTCCTATGACATTGAAAGTTGGAAAAGTGAAACACTCAGGCAGAGAACCTAACTGTCTCTACAGAACGTGATGCAGTACCTTATTCTTTTAGTGAGGCTGTGGCAGGTCTGATGTCAGTCACTTCAGAGACCTTTAGACCTCAGTGCTCATTTATTGCTAAAATGTACCAGCTCTGCTCCTGCATTATGAAGATCATCTGTCAACACTTTGAGATATTCTCCTTTGTTATTAAGCTTGTGATGCTCTACACTGTCAGGTTTTTTGCCAATTATAGTTAAGGTACAATGGTGTATTCACTGGATCAAAGTCTCACACTGGCGGTAGAGGAATGATTTGTAAGTCTTTATTCATCTGAATTGTACAATAGAATACCTGAGGAATGCAAATAATCCCTCTAAGGACTCAATAGAAAAGCTGTTAAAATGACAGTGTAAGACTATTATTATTCTGAATTGGTGTTTTAGCCGAAGTAATTATTTCTTATCTTGTTGTTCCACAATAGTTCTTAGTTTATTA